CACAGAACTGATTCAGAAGCACCAGGCACTGAATTAAAATCCATGCCAATTCAGTCTTGTTGCGTTGGAACTACAGAAACAGGCCTAAACTGGGCAGATTTTCCATATCATAATTTTTTTTTATATTGAGAACTCTTTTGCTAGATAGAACTTTATTTTGCATTCTATCCTTGATTTAAGAAAAAGGAAGTCCTTAGTGCCAGCCTATAAATTAAACACACAAAGACTGCATACCAGCATCCACTGTTAGATACAATCACTACATTACCAAGGTGCTGCCTGTGGAAAAAAGTGGCTGTTTGATTACATGAAGGGTAATCAAATACTGTTTGCATTTTGTTGCATGCTTTCCTATAGAAAATATAAAAAATAATAGCATTGTGCTAGTGTTTTCAACCACTGCTCCAAACTGATTTTAATGTAAAATCAATATTTGCCAATTGAGGGAGAAGAGAGAAGAATGAAGAGAAAGAGAGAAAGGGCAGTGAGTGGGGAAGAAAGATTAAGCTTAGTTTTAAATGAAGCAAATCAATAAGTTAATGATGCAGCATTTTTTTTCTGTGGATGGAAATACACTCATTCCTGTGAAACTTAAACTAAAAGCTATTTAATACCCTAATCCTCTGAGTGTACTGCTAGTGACCTCCATCTTTGCACTGCTTTGTATTTTTCAAAAAACAGATAGAGAACAAAGGAAGGCATAGGTAAAGGGGAGTGGGACAGGGATTATGTATTCACATTTGGAGTCAAGCCATATGGGACTCCAGAAGAACATTATCTCTTGGAGACTCAGTTTTCTGATCTCTAAAACAGAGATAAAGACATTTATTTTGAATCATCAGAATTGGGGCAATTTCTGCAAATGTTAGGCAATTATACTTTGAATCTGTTATTGTTTGGGTGATGGTGATTGTAATTTTGGGTATCACTTAAGTTATAAATACATTGCAATCATGTGAAAGATCTCATGTCGCTTTTCTATCCATTGTGTCTCTGTGAGAGCAGTTGGGGAAGGCACATTGAATTATAATACGGTTGCAAAAATATTCTACAAAACACGTCACAGAATATATACCTGAAGTGTGGAAGGTGTTTTAATCACGTCCTGATAAAATAGCCTTTAGGTAGAATTTGAAGAGATAATAGGATTAATTCAAGCAATTCATTTTTAATTATATTGACAAAAAGTAACTGTTTTAACCCTCTTTGCCTGTTTACTTTTTTTTCATTCTTTCAGTTTTTGTTTAGGGGCATGGTCTTGATTATAGTATAGGTATGACATTAATTTTAAACATTTAAAATTATACTACTAAATATAGAGTAATATTTATGGAAAATAAATTCCAGTTATTATTCATTTTCTAAGTAAAGCAATTTAATATCTACCCTAAATCTATCAATCACTGTTAGAACAGTATAGCCAATTTTACCAATGTGGGAGACTGAATATTTTTCCACATTTTACTTTGGTTGAAACTTGGAAAAGAAAATCTCCCTTATCAGTAGGTACTTGTACATTTTTCTCAAAATTATGTATAAGAATGTTCAGCCAAGCAAATATCCACTCCCCTTGTACCCTGCCCTTTTATTTTTGTTTACAAACTTGACTTTCTACTGTTCCACTTCTCAGGGATATGTGTAATCCATGGCCTAGGCATATGTGGTGTGTTAATTCTACTCCAGACTCACTCTGGATTGGAATCAGATTATTTATAATCCAATAAATGCAAAAAAATTATATATATGCCAGCTCAGACAAAATCAAAACTAAATCTAAACATTTTTAGAATTTGGGTAATAAATTTTTTTTAATTGACAAATATGTTTTGTGTGCTTAAAGTTCCAGGCTTTATATAAATGTCTGATAATACCAAAATCTCCCCACGAAGTCTGAGACTAATTTTTCATGACCTTTATGACATGGGAGAAGATGAATGAACTCAAATTTCTTCCTACCAGTTTCTCTTCTTAGAATAAAGCTGAAAGAGAGGTATCTGATTGTCCTGGGGAAGTAGTTAAAGAAAGTACAGGATCCCAGGAGTTCAGAGCCCTTGAAGAAAAAACAAGAACTTAATACTCAGAATTATTCTCTATGCCAAATTTTCTATTTTTCAATATATAATTACTATGTTAGCAGAGCATACTTTTTATGTAAGTGACAAAAATAGTGCATGATTTTAGGGGTTTTATGTTCATATGTGTTGATAACATAATATTTCATATTTTTTAGGATATTTCCATCATACAATGTAGACAAAAGTGAATTAAGCACCATTATTGTGAAGCTTATCATAGCCTCTTAGAAAACTGCTAAAATTATTTAATTGAGCTAGTTTGAGTTTTTAATTATTTTTGTTCAGTAGCCTCCCTCATTTAAATTTCAGTCACAGTGATGTTTGAGAAATCCAGAATGGCTGCCATGTGATCCTGTATTATAAACATGATAAGTCCCCCACAATGCCATGTCTATCATTGTCCCAGTAAAACATTAAAACTAGTTGTATATT